TCCTTGGGAGGCGCCTATGTTGTCATTAGGAGTCGGGTTCGCCTCGAAGGAGACGTTCCAATTCATATTAACTTGGTTTCTGATGCTACGTTCTGATTGGATTGGATTCAAAAAAACTGACCAATGAGGGGTATACCAAAGAAAGGCATTAACAGCAAATGGTGTTATGAGTAGCTTTAATTAGTTTTGGACAGAAGGGCTATATTAAGGCTGTAATCCTACTTCCTCGTTGATTGTAACAAGCCCTCCAAGTCTTTCAAGAAACCTCGTGGATTGCGTTGTATTAAACGGAACTATGCATGTTTCAGTTCGGACTTATTTAATCATATGTATAACCCGCACACTCCCAGTCAGCTGAGCCTGCAAAATAACGTTTAACTGTACTAATTAAAGTTTATGACGAAAAGCAAAAATTTGGGTTGGGTTCTGAATGAGGTGTATTTATTTATTCAATTTGTATGGCCACCCATCTCAACAAGTGACTGAGTGCTGATATATATAAAGTAAACCTAGTAAAACCATTGAAACAGCTTATATTTCTGCTAAATTAAATAATTTTAGTCTATTATAAGTAATAATATAAGTAGCTTATGGTTTTTATTTCAACAATTCTAGTGGAATGTATATAATGCCTATAAACTAAGGTCTAACACTGCTATCTTTTTCTTCTCTAGAATACTATTAGCAACAATGATAATTAGCAAGAATAACAGTTCACCTGTGTTGAGTAATGAAACATATTTTTCCATTAAAGTAAAATAATCATTAAGTCCCACAGGAAAATAGATACAGTACTAAGACCTCACTCATTAATATGGATATCCAGGATCAGTACAAAGATTTGTGGCATGTGTTAATTGCAATATATTAAAGAAGTGAACAGTTTTGGCTATATCTCCAGTATTTGGAATTTATCAAGAACCATGGATTTTCTGGACATAGAGATTTGCTAAAACAGTCATATAACACTGGAAAGATAAATTTATTCTTGATATGCAACAATCTGTCCTGCTTGTCAATATCTGAATTATAGTGGTGTTGTTAAGGCCAAAGAATGAAGTTTTCAAAGTGATGTGGTCAAAGTTGTTAGAGTTTATTTATTTTATTTATTTATTTATACATCACATTTATATAGCCACCCATCTCACAAAACAACACTGGGCAGGGTACAACCCAAATTTAGAGTTGTTCTAAATTTTCTCAGCCACTTTTTCTTTCCCTCTTTATTACTGCAATTTTGAAATTAATTGAGCATTTTGTTGGAGATGTAATAAGAATAATGCTTCTTTAAAACATATGTTTCTACAGTGTTCTATACTTACCAAGTTTAGAGAGAAAGTAGTGGATTATATAAATATGATTGTGCAACAAAAGCTAAAATTTTCAGAGGATAATATTCTTTTGAACTGTATACCTAGCACACAACTTGACACAAAGACTGATATTGCAGCATTGGAAAGATAAATGTATGGCCCCTTTTACTCAATGGATTGAAGACCTGATTACAGTTGCTACTTACAAGCAGATTGCCCATGGACATAGACTTTTTATGGACAAGTATAATGAAATATGGGACTCATTTATACAATTCAGTAGGTTAAAAAAAATGATAGTCATATAAATGTGTTAGAAATATGTATATATACTTGAATATTTGCATTAGATAAGTATATATAGAATTGTAATTAGTACATAATTACATTATGTACATTAGTACAATAGTACATAACAGTAATTAGTTAACTGTTATGACATATTAACATATTGTTTTTCTTTGTTGTGTTTCTTTCACTTTTTTGTTAAAGCACTTTCTATGTAAGCAATTTACTGTAAACCGCCCAGTCACCTCACAGTAACATGGGCAGTGACAAATTTGAACTACTGTATAAATAAAATAAATAAATAAACATGCCTTTTTCTTCTCAATAATAAAAAATAAAGTTTGAAATTAATTGATACTTTTTCTCAATAGTGTTGCAACTATACGTTTTTTATTACCACAATAAATTATAATAAAACATACTGATTGAACCTTCTTCGTAGAATGAGTGGACATTAGGGTTTGAGTTGCAATATTAACAAAATAAACGTTTATTGCCTGGGGTGTAGTGACTAATAGAGAAAAGGTCATAGAAAGACTCAGGAAAATATTTTAGACAAAAATATTGACGGAGATTAAAAATCTTCGTTTGGTTTCCTGATGAGAGGTCTCTTCATTGTGTTCAGCATTATTGTTTTTGAACGATAGGTCATTCAAGAGAGCCGCTGTTCTGTTAGGGAAATACAACGCGACAAAGAAAAAAAACGCGGGAAAACGCGGGAAAACGCGAAGCATTTGCTTCTCGGGCGGTTTTCATGCGCCCGTCAAAGTTTTCAGTCTCTTCTCTCCTTTTGCTTTTTCGATAGCCCACTTTTTTTTTTTTTTTTTTACCAGAAATTTACATTTAGAAAGTACAATCTTAGACGAAATTCTCGCCAACAAAATACACAATAGATTTAAGGCAAGAATTTGTAAGATTTCATATGCTGGAATTTTTTAATCAAATGAATCAGTTCCAGATTGTACGGTACTATGGACCAAAGCAAACGTTTATAAAATATATCTGAATCTTAGTGGTATGGCAAAGTAAATAACTTCCCTCCTACATTATCAGTAGCGGAGTAAAAATGTACAAAGGACACCAGCGACCTTTTTTCTTTATAAAAAGCGTTACTGCATATTTATCATACCCGTCTTTGACAATACTCATCTCTTATTGGTTAAAACAGAATCCTTCTTCCTATTGGCCTGCAGTTTTCAACCAATCGCAGTAAGAGAAACACGGTCGAGAAAGGTATAAAAGACCTTCAGTTACGATTGTTCGCTGCTTTCTTCGCCTTGGAAGGAAGAAGAGTTGGGAGATGTCTGGCCGCGGTAAAACTGGAGGCAAGGCGCGGGCGAAGGCGAAATCGCGCTCTTCCAGAGCTGGGCTGCAGTTTCCTGTGGGTCGAGTTCATCGGCTCCTACGAAAGGGCAACTACGCCGAGCGGATTGGAGGGGGCGCTCCGGTGTACCTGGCTGCCGTGCTCGAATATTTGAGTGCCGAGATTTTGGAGCTCGCTGGCAATGCCGCGAGGGACAATAAAAAGAGCCGAATCATCCCGCGACACTTGCAGTTGGCGGTTCGCAACGATGAAGAATTAAACAAGTTGCTGGGGGGAGTCACGATCGCCCAGGGCGGCGTCTTGCCGAACATCCATGCGGTTTTGTTGCCGAAGAAAACCGAAATTCTGCATAGCGCTACTAGCTCCAAGCCCACCACCAGCGTGAGCAAGTCTGCCAAGATACCCAAAGTCGCCGTCAAGCCGACGGCCGCTCCTGTTGCTGTTCAGTGAAGACGAAATGACAGCCCTGCCCCGGGGGACAATACTGAGACCCAAAGGCTCTTTTCAGAGCCACCCACAGGCTTTTTGGAAGAGCTTTTCACTGCGCTAAACAAAGTTGCAAGAACTCAACGTGCAGGAGTGGTTTTAATTCTCAACCTAACGAAATGGGGAGAAAATCGTGCAGAGGTTCTACTGAACTCAATAGGAAAGGGGGGGGGTTATTAACGAGCCCGATCTGCTAGTGGGAGGCCTGTCAAGCAGTCGTGCAGCCGCGTGTGTAAAAAGCTACCCGCCGCGTTTTAAGCCGGCTCCTTGTCATGTGACCCAGAATGGCCTTGTTAGGAGATCTGAAGTATTAAATCGCAACCTAGATAAGGTGACTGCCGTCGAGCAGTAGTAACAAACCCTAAGCATTAACCCCACTGGTCAATAAGCGACATACATAGGCTGTCAATACTCCCTCCTTTCCACTGACAACTGCAACAACTTCCATCTTGGGATCGAGCACAATATTGATCAATTATTCAGCTGCTATGAGATACAAGTTCTTATTTTAAAAAGTGGTGTGGTAAACATTTTTTATTTACAACTGCATTCTTCTAACAGCCATTAATCTTTCTCCCGCATCCTTTGATTATCAAGATCTATTCAGTGTTTCTGTGCCTTTAGGTTAATTTTATTCCTCTTCCCACATTCCTGTTTCTCCTGGGAGAAACTAGGATCTCCAGCCCTGCCACCAGTTCACGCTTCGGAAACATAGCTTGGCCCTGGCACTCTCTTCTGACAGCATGAAGAACGGGACAATCTTCTCTCCAGCAAAAGCAGCTGGTGGAAAAGTGTTAACCAAATCACCTGAATGGGCATCAAAAAAATGCTACTTGCTCACCCTCACAGTCTATAAATAAGGATCCGGCAGGCCCCTTTGCGCCTGTTGACATAATAGCTCTCTCCTTGCAAAGCCCAGATTCCTTCCTCTGGATTAAGGGGGCTCACACCCTTCCTTCGGACAGACTCTTGGCACACCCACTGCCCAGTTTCCTCCTGTAGCTTTTATTTCTACCTTCAGCAATGCCTTCCTGAAGTAAATCTCTCAAAGCTTAGCACATAAGGAACAGAATCAAACCCCCGCAGCCTGGAAATGCGGTGGAATCTGAAGGGACGTGGGAGTCCACAGTCTTGAGATCCTCCAATATCCATAGACAATCACGTGCACTAAATAAATTCAGAGTCACTTTTGCTGGTGGAAGAAAGAAAAAGTAGGTTAGATGCCCAGAGAATACACAAAAAATCAGGAGTCTGGGAACACCTTTTCCAACTATCACATTTTATTAAAAGGCATAACCTTTTGTGAGCTTCATCACTTCCATCATGGAATATTAAGAGTTCTTTTCCCCTCTCATGGGCTTGTATGCTATTCACTTAGACTGCCTTTTCAAGTGGCTTTAAAATTAAGATATTACTTAGAACACTTGTTCGTGTTCATTTTGAGACACCAAAGGAAAAAACAGGCTTTTTAAATTTATCATTTCTTTTGATGTTTTAGTTCCAAAAAGTCAGGCAGAAAGGGAGAATAAGATTTTTTTTTTTTAAGCCAAAGACCAAGAGGCTATTGGTTTGTCTGCATGAACAAGGGTGCTGCTACACATTACTCAACTGCCCTTGATTCCTGTCAGTGGAAATGTTTAGCAAAGTGGAGTATCAAGTCATCTCTCCATAGTTTATTTAGTACTATATTCAAACTGGGATCTCTGGTTTTCTGTTCTCTTAACAAACTGGAATCTTAAACAAAAAATCTTGTCAAAAGATTCTGATTTGTTAGAGCAATAAACTGCATGAATCCTGATTCAGTTACAAATGCTACTTCTCTTGTTGCTTAAATTCTGAAGAGTGGACCCTGAGCATAAGGTTATTCCTCGTCGTTTGGGCCTTTCCGAACCGCAACGTGTCCTGCTGAGCAACCAGCACGATGCTATTGCTCCGTTGAGAGCTAGGCTTAAACCCCTAAAGTTAAAAACCGTTGATTTTGCTGTTATCACCGAAGATAAATTCCTTGTGTATGTTTTATACTTGGCCATTAAAGTACTG